AAAACCGTATGAAAAATTCTTACAGAGCAGTTTGAACTTAATAAACGGCAACACTAGCAACAATAAACAACAACAATAAATATCAATAACAACCCAACAACACCCAACAACAATAACACACAACAATAACACACAACAAAAACACAACAACAACAATAAACAGCAACGACAACACAACAATACACAACAGCTACAACAACCACACACAACAACAAAATTAAACAACAATAACACACAACAGCAACAACAACGACACACAACAATAACAACACAACAACAACAACCACACACAACAACAACCACACACAACAACAACCACACACAACAACACAGACAACAACGCACCTTTACGGTAACACGAACAATAAGAGCATGTATAAAAATACGACGGAGAGCATGTATAAAAATATTGAAAACAATAAAAATGGGATCAACAAACAACAACAACAACAAACATACAAACATCATCTGCGTCAACAAAAAAATACAACAGCAACAACAAAAACAACTACAACAACATTAATAATAATAATAATAATAATTATAATTATAATAATAACTTGCACAACAGCAACAACAACAAAACCAACAACGACAACAACTACAACAACATTAATAATAATAGCGATAACAATAACAATAATAATAATAATAGTAATAGTGGTACTTGCACAATGACAACAACAACAATAATTACACAACGAAAACCATCACTGCACTCCGCAAAAGCATATTTCACAGCGATCATAAATAATCCCCAACTTCATCTATTATAAACAATGAATCTGTCAATTAAACTTTAGAACAATTATGTATGTGCGTGTGTTTGTACGTTTGTTTGTTCGTTTGTGAGTGCTTGTGTGTGATGTGTGTGCGTTTACGTGTGGTGTGTGTGTATTTGTTTGCGTGTGTGTTTGTGTGTGTGTGTTTGTGTGTGTGTGTTTGTGATTGCAATAAACTTAAGTTATAATAATTGTGATGTTAATTTAGACAATAGTCTATCCCACGACTCCACGGTTGTTGTTG